GCCGCGCTGCTAGCCTTGGGCGCAGGCGGGTCCAGGTGCTTAGGACAGCGGCTCCCACCCCAGGCCCCCCACGTCTGGCCTGGGTGGCCCGCAGGTTTATGGGTGGGGAAAGGAGGCCACACGCTGGAAAGCATTCTTGAGTTGAAGGAAAGGGTTCTTCCCACTCGTTTGGCGATTGTGCTGTCGGGCCGGTGGGGTGGCAGCATTCACAGCATTTAGTAGAAAGTGGGGTCTGGGCCCGGCTCAGGCAGCGAGGGGCTTCTCTTGCGCTCTTGCTCTTGTTCTGGGGGTGGGTGGTGGGGCTGAGGTTGAGCGCGTGCAGACGAGCGCAGTGGCGAACCCGGCTCTCTCCCAGCCGCCGTCTCCCTTTCCACCCCTAGGTGCGCAGCCGCCTGACCCGCCAGGCTCACGGGGCCCTAGCGCGAGCGTTGTGTGGAGTGGTGCAAATGCAGGTGTTTGCCGTAGATATAAACGGCCCTTGGCCACAGGTCTGAAGGCCAGTTGGCTCAGACGCTACCCATCTCCGGGTAGGGGTTGAGGAACAGCAGCCTGGAATCTGGCAGTTTGCCTCTGGGAGAATTCCAGGGTGACATCTGCAGCGCTGTGGTTCCAGAAAGGATGGTTCTCACATTGAAGAAGATTATCTGTGGGATTGCGTAAATTTCTCCAAGTGCGCACAAACCAAAATGAAATTGAAAACTACAATCCGACTTTCAGGCTACTGATTCTCCCCTACCCCTCCTCTCTTCCAGTGAATCGCGGGAATTATGGAACCCCGGACTCTACACATAGCGAGGATGCCTTACAGCCCTGAGCTACTGCATACAGTACCTGAGCGGCAAGCTTATTTCTAAGCTTTGGCTTTTCTGAATTATTTTCTGGCTTAACCTTTCTAGGTTTTGCTGTGAAGTTATCAGGCCTGAGAATGTTATCCTGTTCTACACACTTCCCTGTCCCCAAACAGGACTATAGATGTCTCAGAAGGAGAGAGGAGCTTGTGAACTTCAGTGCACATTCTACACACATTTTCATATAACCTGCTAAGCGATAGCATTATAAAATTCGTTTCAAATAAAATAAACTTGGCAAAAATTTTATTTTCTCCCTTTTCTGAGCTGAGACAGCACATCGCTTTAGCCCTTGCGTCTTTCCTAGAATCGGAAAGCTTACTGGTTTCTTCTTTGAGCCCTTTTCCAGCTGTAAACCCACAAAGTTTAAGCCTACAATCTTTTTTTTTTTTTTCTTTTTCCATTCTCCAGCCTGGGTCATTTTCCCTAACAGAGCTTCAACCCTACCTGGGATGCAATGCTTTACCTTCTGGAACTAAAGGTATTTAAAGAAAAATTGTTATACTTCAATCTCATGTCCTGAGCTCCAAGAAACCTTTGCTGCCTTTTACAGAGTTATTATTTGGAATCCTGAAATTATGTGGAGAGGGCTTTAAGCAGTGTCAAGTTGGCAGTTAGATGAGAAAAATATGTGACACAAAAAGTGCCATAAATATTGATAAATTAGATGAATATTTGTTTCAAACAGCCACCAAAATTGTCAGTTAGGGAGGGAGGAATTTTCTGGGTGTTTGCATAGGTTTTTGAGTAAATATGGAATGATATTTTCCAATCTTGAAAAATGCTAAAATTATTACTATTTTCCAGAAGTGAAAGAAGAAAATTAGCCATCGTAAATAGTATTTCATAGCAAAGATTTTCTCTGGCTGATCAGATTGTAGCCAGACAATTTACAGATCAACTGTTTTTTGGCACCACTAAAAGTATATTTTAAAAATGTCACTCTTTGATATTTACTGCACAGGAATTAATAGTATTATTACCTACCCTCCCACAATAATTTTTACTCCCTTCAGTGAAGTTAAGCACTGATAAATCTTGGAGGCCCTGAGAAGTTTGTAAAGTTATTAAGCTATCCTGCTAATCTCGCTGGCCTGACCAGTCCTTTCTGATTAGATCTTAGAGTGTAAAGCATTGGAGAGGACCGAACAGACATCATTTTCACATAGGGATCCTAAGGACCGCTGGCCTGAGCAAACTAACTCCCCTGACTGTATATGAGGATCTGGCTACAGGGGCTTTTCTTGTTAAGAACATACATTCCTCTCCCAATGCATGCAAGTAGGGTTGTCATAAGTCCATTAACTGAATGATTAATTTATCCATGCATAGGCATTCAATAGTGGTCTGTGGTTATTGTAGAAGACACTTGCAGTTTGCGGAAGTCATTGCTCTAGGCTGAAACATCCTGTTGGTTCTTTGAAAAATGCGTGCATGGAGATGCGTGGAAGGTTTGAGCTCCCTTTGCATAATTAGTGATGAAATGTGGTTGCTGAGGAGTCTAAAAATGACTGGAGCACTATTTCAGCTCTTCCGCTGCACTATTATAGTACTCATTGCCAATTTTACCAACTAAATTTCATCATGGACTTTACTTGATTTCAATTGTGCATTTCCTGTCAGTCTTTTCCTTTCGAGTTCTTTGGCAGAATAGGGATTTATTTTTTTCTTTACATCTTTCAAATCTTTGCAGAATTACTAGTACATAGTATGATTTAATACTTTTAAATCAATTAAAACTTAATAGGGCTGTGCGTGGAGTCAAATGTTTTCATTGATATTCAGGAGGTGAAAGCTGTCACTGAAACTTTTCTGTCTAGAGACCAGTTGGTGAGTTCCATAATGCTCAGATTATAAAGAAAATGCAAATCTATTGTGAATCTGAGTCAGAGGTAGGCTCTAGGTGTATAACCAGTGATTATTGGTCCTTCCTGCAGCCAAAAGATCTAATCAGAAGTTTGGGAACTGGTTTCATTTTTCTAAAAGCATTCTACAGTGATTTAAAGTACACTGTCACATGATGTGATGAGGCTATTTTATTTCCCTTGAGTATTAAGGCTTAATGACTTTTAGAAAAAAATTCCTCAAAATGTCTGTCTTCCGTGGAAAGATTATCTTAGGTAATTTTAAGAGTTACTTAAAAACCTATTTTATGTATATGAAATAGTAAGGGGGCAATGAAATAATTTTTCTTCCAAACTGAGGTAAAAGGCAAAGGATATAAAAAGCCTAGAGGGAATTAGGAGTTAGTAAGAACACAGCGTTCTGGAAAAAAATATGACTCAGCAAAACCTAAGAAACATCTGGCGGGTTAAAGTCATGGAAAAATTTGCAGTCATGATTATGCATTTTGTGAAAATAACTATGTACTAGTCTAACAGTTCACATTTAGACCAAAATTAATAAATTCAAAAGCTCTATAATACAATATATTATATCTGTTATTCAAAATACATCTATTAACAATGTAGAATATTGTGTACAGGGAACTTCAACAAGTATAATATAGCAGCAGTATTTTTAAAAATATAATTTTAGAGAAAAATCTGTTCACATTTGACAAAGATTTGCATTTTCAGCACAAAACTATCTTTATAAGTTTAAAACTTATCAAACTACCTGTGTACTTTTAATAAACAATGAACATTTTATTACCTCCATACAATGGCAACAAATAAATTATAAATATGAATTGTGATTATTGTTTTAGTAAAAAAGTCATTTAAAATAAAATCCTTCAACTTATATTTGTATTTAGATGACTTAGAATTTTGTGTACAGTATCACTTTATGCAAATCCCTTTACTTGCTCATATCTATAATTCTTATACCTGACCATAAGCATTAAATTTGATGAACAGAAATCCATTAGTTTAATAATTATTTGAATGTTTTCCAGATGCTGGATTCTTTTTAGACTCTAATGTACAGAGTAAAACAACAACATCCCTTTCCTGTTAAATATAGCATTATTCCTGCTTATATTCAATTTTTAATTGAATAATTATCTATCAGCATTTGAGCTGGCTATAAAACAATTTTAATGATACTCATTAATAAATTCTATTTGATATCCTTCCCTGCCTGCCCAAAACAAAAAGATTTAGGTGTGTCATGGTCAATCCATCAAACAGGTTTTTTTTGTTTTTTTTTGTAGCAGGGATTGAACTCAGGTCCTTGTGCTTTAGTGCTTGCAAGGCAGGCCACCGAACCACTGAGCTAAATCCCCAGCCCTCAAACAGGTATCTTTAACTCAGAAAACTACCTGTGAATTTGAAACACTTGTACTTTATTAGTTTGAATGTATTGATGAACTCAAAGGTTTGCATATGCAAAAAAGTATGTGAACCTCAATATAAAAAGACAACTCTATGAAAGGAAAAAAAATCTATCAGAAAAAAAGCCAAGTATGAGATTCTTTGGGTGAAGAGAAAAATTGAAAAGCCTGTGTGCAGGAGGTTTCATTGTTATTTATATAATTTCTTGTTGACATTTTATAAACTAGTGTAGGAACAGACACAGGGCTCACTCTCTGCTCCATAGGTGGCGCCTTGTTCCTGGGTTCTCAGCTGATAAAAGGGGTAGGCAGCTCCCTTTGGTGTTTTAAAAGGAAGGCACTAATTCCATTCACAGAGACCTCAGACTTAAATACATCTAGAAAGCTTCACCTTCTCAGTATCATCACATTCGCTATTAGATTGCAGCATATGAATTTAGTTGCTGGGGTTGAGGGAAAGACACCACCATTCAGAAAAAAGCAAACTGGACACAGGAACAGCAGAGTGGGAGAAGAGGGCTGAGCTGTGTGAGCAGAGGAGCAGGTGTGAGGTAGGTTTGGAGCAGTATCCTGTAGGTGTGAAATGTGCCCTGAGGTTAGAAAAGCAGCTCAGGTCAGCTTTGTGGATCCCCCTGCCCCATGGAGGCTAAATTCAGCAGAAATTACATTAAAAAGCTTACTATTCTCATCATGGTCTAAAAATTTTGAATTGGGAGTCATATCATAAAGCTATGCCCTTCAGCCACATGGTCACCAAGGAGTAGAAGTGGAGAA